ACTGTTAACTGTATCTGTTTCTTGTTTATGGATTTCGACGTTTCTTTTTCTAATTTGTATGTACTTTTTGCGTACATTACGAACATGTACTATTTAAATAATAAGATTGTTAAATAAACCATCTAATTCTTTAAAACAATTTTTTTTTCAGGAATATTTGAGGTAATTTTTATTGTAAAAAATAAATATTTATGATTTATAACACACTTCTACAATAAACTTCGTAAATATTTTATTTATAATAGATTTTCTGAAAAAAAAAACAAATTATCCTATTCAATTCTTTCCACTGTAAAGTACTTACCAATATTTTTTTTTAAATAAAAAATCTGATAATTTTGAGCTTTTCCTCAATGAAAAAATCATCTCAATGAAAAATTTTCATGGCAACCTACTTATTTATTTATTATTATTTAACATTTTTTAAACAAATTATAAGAAAATATATTTTTTGCTTCAAAATTACTTTTTTTTAATAATTTGAATTATTCTAAGACGCTTTTCTTGTATTTTTTTCGTAAAATACTTTCTTTAAACTTAAAATGCAATATCTAAACAATTAAAAATGCCGATTTTTTTTAGGTCATTTTTCAATAGGTTTATACATCGAATTTAAAAACCAAAAAATATGAGGTGAAAGTTTACAAAATAGGTTCAAAACGCGCAAGTCAATTTTGATAGCATAAGTCAGTTTAAAATATTCATGAACAAATTAATATACCGTTGTATTTCGGGATATATATATATATATATATACATATATATATATATATAATATATATATATATATATATATATATAAATATATATATATATATAGACTTGAAAAATATCTAACTTTAACGTTCGAAACACATTGTTTATGTTTATTTTTTTCGCATAAGTTGAATCTTACTTTAATGAAAAGAATAAATATTATGCTACATTACAGTAAAAAGTTAACCTAAAGTTTACCATGGGAAGCTGTTTATTAATAACAATTTTTCCAACAAATAAAAAATTTAAATTGTGTTTGAAGTATTTATTCTTGTTTTTTTTTATATATTAAGCAAGTTCCCGTGGTATACTTTGAGTAAACTTTTTACTGTAATATTGCAGCATCATATTCTTCCGATTAAAATAAGATTAAGATTGTGGTAAGAAATAAACAATGTTTTGAAACATATTGTTTATTTGTTTATTACGTTAAAGTTTGGACCTTCATCAAGTCTATATATTCCAAAACGCAACGATATATCAATTTGTTTATGTATATTTTACACTGACTTTTGTAATATAACATCAAAATGAAATTAAGCATTTTAAACAAACTAACTTAAATTTTTATCTTGAATTTTTTGTTTATATTTCACATCTGATGTTCAACATATTAAAACATGGCCTCGAAAAACGGTAAAATTGTTTTTTCGGCTATTTTAGTACTTTATTTGCTACTTTCGTTTAAAACTAATAATATTTTTAGAAATAATTGAATAGGATAATTTGTTTTTTTCATCAAATCTATTATAAATAAAATATTTACGAGGTTTATCAAATAAGTATATATATTAATCATAAATAGTTATTTTTTACAATAAAAATTACCTCAAATATTCCTAAAAATAATAAAAACTGAAAAAAAAATATTTAAACAAATTAGATGGTTTATTTAACAACCTAATTATTTAAATAATACATCGAAATCTATAAACAAGAAACAGAGATGCAGTAACAGCTCGTTCCCCCTCCAGCGCTCTCACTAGTTTCAAAGCCGACCAATTTTGAGGATCACAATTTTGAAGCTTGTTAAACGATTCCATTAAAATCTGTTGATTTTTTCACATTAAAATTTTAAAGTATGTTCTTTCAGATGACCCTAATAAGGTCTCTTAATTGCTATAAACAAAGCTGATATCAATTTATAAAAAAAATGCACTAACTTCATCCCAAAGTGTCCCAGGTCAACTTTTTTTTATTTTAAAATGTGTAAAAAAATTCAGGTTGTCAAAATATAAAAAAATCAGTTTTTTGCAGTCAATGGTTAAAAAGTTATTTTAATTGTTTACCAGCAAAAAATTAACATGTTTTTGCTAAATTATTTTGCAATATTTAAACTTTGACCAATCGACTTGAAAGTTTGACCTTATTTTAAACACCACAAGATTCACACAGTGCATAATATAAAGTTTATTTTAAAAAAAGTTATTAATATATATAAAAAACCGAAATTTTTGGCTTATTCTGTAACTTTCTAAGCAACAAATAAGGATAGGAACATTTAGAAAATGCCCTTTTGAAGTCTATACTACTAAAAAAACTGCTCTTTGCTGGCCGGTTCAGTGTCACAAACAGGGTACAGGGTAGTTTTTTTTGCTTATTTCCATGGTCTAATATTCCTACTTATTGATTTGAAAACGTCAGTGCTGTGATGTTTGATGTTTACTGCGTTAAGGTACGTATATTTTATGCACTAACATTTAAACAAAAACATAATTATATCTCTATTACTTGCCAAATTGTTGTGACGGTATTGACTTATCAATCTTATCATGTTATCAATTTCAAAACTTCGGTAATCTTTAGTCGATTTCCTCTAAATTTCGAGCTATGTATTTCATAAAAGTAATCATTTTGTGGCACTGAGTTGTTTGTCATCGATATCATCAGCTGAGTAATAGTTGCATCAAGAAAACGTCGGAAAACTCGGCGCGGAATTCCCTTGTCGCACCTGCTGTTTTTTAAGTACTATAGCGCTGTTGTCGATATAATATATATAATATAATATATATATATAGATATATATGATATATATATGTATATAAATAGTATATATATGTATAATAAATATATATATATATAAATATATATATATATAATATATATATATATATATATGTATATAAATATATATATATATATATATATATATAATATATATATATATATATATATATCGGAAAAGGAGTACGACCGTCAATCCAATATATATAAGGATCACTCAGACGAGTGGTGGGTTCTTATATCGGTCTCAAGGTGGAAGAAATAAAAGACAAAGTTGATAGGCTACTTTATCTATTTTGAAGACGTTTCGCTTTCGAGTTTTGAAAGCATCATCAGTTCATCTAAAAAGTACAATATGAGAACCACACAATCATGGAAACGATGTTAATTGTTACCTTAAAAAGACATGTAGCAGTCAAAGTGATTTACAATCATGTGAATAAAACTCAAGTAAATGGACATCATAACGCTGATATTGTATAAACAATCAAGTAGTAACTAACAACATATAGGAACTTATAAAAAATTAGCACAGCAAATGACCATGTGATCTAGTAAAGTGAAATATTATTTAATCTTAAGTAGTGAAAAAGAACCAAGAAAATCATCTTTGAAGTTGTCTATGGAACTTGTCTATCATTTTCTTGGTTCTTTTTCACTACTTAAGATTAAATAATATTTCATTTACTAGACCACATGGTCATAGTTGCTGTGCTATTTTTTTATAAGTTTCCTATATGTTCTTAGTTACTTGATTGTTTATACAATATCAGCGTATGATGTCCCATTTACTTGAGTTTTATTTCACATGATTGTAAATCACTTTGACTGCTACATGTCTTTTTAAGGTAACAATTAAACATCGTTTCCATGATTGTGTGGTTCTCATATTGTACTATTTTAGATGAACTGATGCTTTCAAAACTCGAAAGCGAAACGCTTCAAAATAGATAAAAGTAGCCTATCAACTTTGTCTTTTATTTCTCCACCTTGAGACCGATATAAGAAACCCACCACCCTTCTGAGTATATATAATATATATAATATAAATATATATAGAATATATAATATATATATATATATATATTCTCATTGCTTGTTGAAAGCATATCATTCAATACTATCTTATGTTCACTTCTTCGAGTTCCTATCACAAGGTGTATAGGACACCAAGGTGAAAAGTTTAAGGCGATAGATGAAAAGACTTTGACCTGTCGGAGCTAATCCTCACTTTTTTGTCTGACTCCAACTTGTAATTTGTGATATTATGCTGCTTTAATGATTTTCCCTCGATATTGTATTTGCAGTATCAGACGTTCAATTTTCAACCACACTTCGAACGAATCTAGTTTTGCATAGTTCTATTATAATATGTATATCCATTTTTCATTTACACTTCTGTCCCGATTATTTTTTTCTATGTTACAGCAATTAAGGTTGAATTCCTGTTCATATTCCAGGTTAAATAAGGTATAATCAGAAATCCATGTTTAGATACCCTTAGGGAGAGCGCCCACCAAAGTGGCGTGGCACGTGGCACGTAGCAAGTAGCACGCGTCTAGCATGTTACATAAAATGTAACCAATGCAAACGAATTATTAGATCGCATGACGTCACTGTCATTTTGGTGTGCGCTGAATCATTCATTTTCATTGGTTACATTTTAAGTAACATGCTAGACGCGTGCTACTTGCTACGTGCCACGCCACTTTGGTGAGCGCTCTCACTTAAGTATCCGTTAATGATACAATTTAATTGGGGGAAAAAATATCGCTAGACGGTCACCGCGATAAATATCTACATCCAAACTATGTTCAACATTTTTTTTCCTTTTACTGCATTCAACTTTTGCATCAACACCTACTCATTAGACTTATAACTATTAATGTCGTTGCGTAGCTCGAAGCGTATTGCCGTAAAAAAGATAGAAAATTGGTCGAAATTATCTCTTGGTTTTCTGTCAAATCTTTTGACTCTTTAGCAAATTTTTAATAATTATATTAAAACTTTATGTCAAATAAAAACTGAATTAGCCACAAAAGTACACATACCATAATATATATATATATATATATATAATATATATATATATATATATATATATATATATATATATATAATATAATTTAAAGATTTTACTCAGCATCTCAATGTAAATGATAAAATGTCAAGCAAGATTATGAAGATAAACTGTGTTTTAGTCATGATGACAAGTGCAGTAAAAATGATGTTCTTTTTACCTGACTAGAGAACCTGCACTACCATCAACTGGCGATCCACCTAGAAGGGAGGGGCCTGCCGAGATTGGTCGCATCTTAAAAATAAAAAATCATTCATTTTTTTTGTACCATATCAAATCAAATCAAATAATTTTATGTTTACTATATACAATACTATATACGAGGTGCTAAGAAGAATGGGTACTGAGAGAGAACTCCTTAATATTATAAAAAACAGAAAAACGATTTATCTAGGACATATTTACAGAGGAGAAAAATATAACTTTCTACGACTTATAATGGAAGGGAAAGTGAAAGGAAGAAGAGGTCCAGGAAGAAGAAAATACTCCTGGTTGAAGAATGTAAGGGACTGGACAGGCATGGACACACATTCGATACTAAGAACAGCTCAAGATAGAGAGCAATTTGCTGTAGTTATAGCCAACCTTCAGTAATAGAGAAGGCACCTTAAGAAGAAGATATACAATTATTCTAACTTAATCTGCATAATTATTTTTCTCTTTATTAAAATTCAGTGTTACACCCTTAATTACATTTCTTCATATGTTTCTTGATCCTAACAATATTAATTCTCTTCACATGTCTTGTCTAACACACACCTTACCCATCTGATATTTTCATCTGTATAAAGGTCGATTCAGACACATCAGTCCCGTCACAGTCTCGACGCGGAACCGGTCCTGTTTGGTCACATAACTATCAACTATCTGACAGCTGGCAAACTGTTCGTCGCCTGATGAATGTGAATGCCGGCGCCATATTTCTTTTAAAGAATATTTTGTATGACGGATTGTTCGGTTCGGCGCCAGGACTGTGACGAGACGTGACTGATGTGTCTAAATCGACCTTTATACGTTCCTAAACTCCTTTCTTTTTAACCTGCCCAACATCCACTGTCCTATATCATCATTATTTCATTCTAGAATATGTATCTTCTTCTTCAAGTACCTTCTCCGCTACGGAGTTTGGCAATCATCATTGCTATTCGTATCTTTGAAGCTGTTAATAAGCATCTTTCTGTTTCTGTTGTGATGACATAGATGGCTGCTTCGACCATCAGAAAGAAAAATGCTTTAGCATGAATTCTCAAAATCAATGACATCTGACAATGACAATTGATTCAAGATTAACCAGCTTTTTATCAGGTGTATAATACACCTGCTTTCGGAAGCTAAAGACATGATTATTGAGATTGAAATATTGTTGATTATCATTTGAGTTCAAAATTAGTACTAAATTATTCAATGATATGATGAGGGATAGAAATTAGTCATCTTGCTTTGTTAACATCTTGTTCAGTTTTAATTTTTCCGCAATCGTTCAGAAAATCAGACTAAGTATACAAAATTCTTTTTTGTATGTTAAACTCGACATTGTCTTAAAACTGAAAGATTAGTTACAATAATCGATGCACTACATATTATTAACTGCAACACTATACAATGTATCGTTTTTTGTTAACTGTTTAGCTATTCGAAAGGTAGTAAACTATGAAAGTCATTCTATATATTTGTGTATCCTTCAAATAATTTGTAACAAGTCTTTGATCAGCTTTTATAGAATGGTTTTCTACTTGACTAAAATGGTTTACAAGGGTTTTAATCGACATCAGCTACGTACTATTATAAAGAAATGACTGCCGGTGTCTTTGAAGAATATATTTATACAAACGATCGAATTTATTTCAGAAAATGTAGTCGTTATGGACAACACTACTAATACCGGATAACCAAAAAAGGTATACCATTTAGAGATGCCACTCTAAGTATTATCTAAAAGTTGCTTCAGATAAGTTAAAATTTTTGCAGAAAACTGGAGAAACACATATAGACGAAACTATAAATAGTGATTTATTGATAATATACATTGATAAAGTATCTTAATAAGTTAATGTTGAGAATTTTAAAGGATATTTAAACGACCATTAAATTTTCAGTTCAAACTGGGTGGTTTAGCAGAAAATACAGATGGCTAACTTCTTTCGAATTACAATTTTAGTATACGGGGTGGGTATATTATCAGAAACTGCGACATTTTTGGAAAACTAAACGAGACGAGGTACTTTCTGGTAGTTTTGATTATTTTACTTAAAAATGAGGCTAAAAATTAATATTGTTACGTTTTTCTATGGGTCAGAGATTAAGTGAAGGAAACGTGGTTTAACAAACTTTATTTTAACTTCAAAAACTCACATAATTACTAATATTGCAAATTCTAATTATATTAATAATTATCGCTTCACACAGATATCGCTTACAAAACAATTCGCCAATACTCGCCCACACAACAGGTTTATATAAGGCAAACTACACGTTCAGAAAAATCTTAAGGAGCGTACAGATATGCCAGCCAAACGCTATACGTACCGTACGCGTACAGATCCTTGAAAATATATCTACATCGTACAGATCGCATACTTATCTCGATCCATGGAAAGCGATAAAACCAACAACGAACACACATGTGCGAAATGATTCATTTTATTTATAATTTGGGTACTGATTTATCGTGTTTTTTTTTATACTGTTTGGCCCGCATATCTGTACGCGCCTTTACGCGTCGTTTACCGGGCGTCGGGAACATCTCCGTATCGATAGAAACGGTGCGTGGAATATTCGGAGGTGAGTATTCCCGACTTCACTAAAGGACAAAGCACAGGTCTTCAATTAGGGGTATATAACACAACAATATAATTTACTATTTTCACAGGAAATAAGCCATCATTTTAATTTAAAATAAGTTTATTTTGACGTCAAACGATTTCCGAAATGGAAATCTCAACGTCAAAATAAACTTATTTGAATGTAAAATTGTGGCTTAATCCCAGTAAAAATACTAAATTTTATTAACATGCCACAAGAAAACAGCTTCAGAATTAGAACAATACAAATGAACGCTTACAACTGAAAAAAAAAACAAAAACTATGGGAAGAAAGAAATTGAAATCTAAACCATTGGCGTACTCAATAAAATAATTAGACAGGTAAATACAAATTAAAGTTAAAAATGTATTTCTTTCTAAATAAATAAAATGAAGTCTTGTAACGAATTTAAAAAATTAAACACTAGGGTATAGGGGATTCTAAGTGCTTTAAATTGCTATTATTAAAAAATGTTGCCTGGATTCTTAGCCTGGCAAAAGGGATCAGAGTAAAATAAACGAAAATACCGGAAAATTTACCCTTCAATCAAAAATCGACATGTCGCTGGATTTTTCAAAAAATGTCGCAGTTCCTCATAATGCCTGTTTTCGTTTTCGTCCTGCCACCCTGTATATATTTACTTGTAACATTTTTAGGATGATTCTATAAAAGATAACTATCTTTTTCAATACATAATGAGACTATCATGTATATAATAAATTTAAACAGAAACTTCGAACTTACCCTTTCTGTTTGTGTAGCAGCGTTACACGTGGAGCTTTCGCACGTGGTGGAAGCTGGTGCGGAATTGGCGTGGTAGTTGTCTTCTGCGAGCCGTACCATCTGTTCTTGAAGATTTTGCACCGTCTTCTCCCTATCCTCCAGTTGGCCTTGCAGAAACAGCACTTGCCTCCGTAGCTCAGCCAGTTCTGATATCACTTTCGCTTCGTTTTGGCTGCTGCCGTCATCGCTCACGTCATTGTCCGGACACAGACTGTTGAAGATCCCATTCGTCAAGTGCTGACTTTCAAATGGGTTGTGAGTTTCTGACTGTAAATCATAAGTTACGATATAAATATTATTATTGAACATATATAATCAACTTATGCGATAACAATTTTTATTATAAAGAAAATTTTTTCATAAATAAAATAAAGAGTTAAATAAATATTGAGAGATATTGACATGGAAAATCTAAGTTGGCCCAACTATTAAAATCACAGTTTTTTGGTTACTATAAAAAAAATGATCTGTATCTACTACATGCTTTTGTTGGTTTTTAGGTTAATTAAAATGGAATTTTAATAATATTCAATAGAAAAAAAAAATTGAATCGGTTATCTTTATAAACTTCAGGCGGCCTTTTGAAAAAATCAAACCACAACAATTGTCGATTACTTCTGTCAGATGTATTTTATAAATTTTAAAAACTTTCTGGTATTTGTATGGTTTCAAAATGGGCGGAGGAAAGTGTATCAATGTAAAAATGTGTTCAATTATTGTTAGATTTTTTAATTCTGGAAAATCAAACTCGGAAATTTCAGGCGTATTACAATCATCACGGAATAGTGTAAGAAATATAGTTGGAAGATATAAATCTACAGGTTGAGTCGCCTCAAATCCTCGCAATGTGGGAAAACTAAAATTACTAACACCTAATCCTAGTCCAGTAGTACGAAAACCGGGATGGAAATTTCAAATTTGATACTTGCAAATGTTGCCAGATTCATCATTTTTGTGATATCATTAGTTACTTTGGTTTTTTAAATAAAACACCTTGTTCAAACAACGATATTTTTTGAAAATACCACTTAGAAATTAAAAAAAAGACCCGAATCACATTTATTCCATTCTGAGAACATTATTGATACTAATAACGGGATTAAATCGGGAAACCATCTGTAGATCAAGAACAAATATGTTTTCGAATAAATATACTGTACTCTGCGTAATTATTTTACAAACTTTAATCACAACAGTTTAATCCTATGGTGAAGTTATATTGAGAGGGTTAAAGGGGTAGAATGCGAAAACATGGAGTTGCTTCCAGTTTACTCCACTTAGCCTCTTCTACTCAATTCCGACCCTCACCCTCACGCTGGTGCCCCCTGTTAAACTGAGCAAACCCAACTGGAGATCCGGTATCCAACCCGGGTGGAAAGTTGGGTCGGAAACGGACGAGAGCGGGTAAACTGGTCCTCCAGGTTGGGGGTTGGGCGTAGGGTTAACACCCTGACACCGTAAAAAACAGCATGTTATGAGAATTCAAGGTAAAGTTTCCGGACTGAAATCTAGACGACGACCCGGCGCGAAAAAGAACAATGATATTACGATTATTCTCGTGGAATGTAAGATCTCTAAACAGGACAGGAGCCTTGCAGTCTCTCATTAATAGTGTCGAAGTATATAAGAGCGATATAATTGCACTTCAGGAAATGAGATGGTTGCGAAATAAAATATTAAAGAAAAAGAATTATACGATATATTACAGCTGCCATCCAACGGAACTCAAACTAGCAACGGGATTCATAGCCAATAAAAGAGTAAAGCACCTTATAATAGACTTCCAACCCCTCAACGAAAGATTATGCACACTGAGAATCAGAGGTAAATTCTTTAAATATTTAATAATAAATGCCCATGCACCAACTGAGGAGAAGCCAGATGAAGAAAAAGAACATTTTATGAACAACTGGAAAAATATCATACAACATTGTCCTAGAAATGACGTAAAGGTCTTAATAGGAGATTTAATGCAAAGATAGGTAAAGAGAAGGGAATACATGCCAACCATTGGAATTCACAGTTTACGTGGAGAGTCAAACAACAACGGAACTCGACTATCACATTTAGTCTCCTCAATGAACATGGTGGTTGCCAGTACATGATTCAAGCACAAAGATATACATAAGGGAATATGGAGAAGTAGAATACAGTAAACCAAATCGACCATGTGGCGGTTGACGCAAGACACTTCAGCGACGTGATAGACGTACGTGCAATACGCGGGGCCAGACATAGACACGGACCATTACCTACTACAAGCTAAATTAATAGCTAGAATCTCCAATGCAAAGAAAGAAAAAAGAGTTAAAGAGGAAAGGTTTAAAGTAGAAGCGTTGAAGAACCCTGAGATAGCTAAGAGATTCAAAGAAAGTCTCGAAAGCAAGCTGGAAGGCTGCACGGATGATGTAGTTGAAGATATTGACAACTATTGGAGGCAGTGTAGAGTCATACTGGAAGAAGTGACAACTGAAGTTATCGGAAAGCAAAAATGTAAAAAATTAAGGTCAGACTGGTACGATGAAGAATGCGCACAAGCAACGCAAAAAAAATCAGGCATATAGAAGACTCCAAGAGTGACGAACGAGACAAACCGAGGAAGAGTATAGGCAGCTGAGACGAAAAGAAAAACGAATACTTAAAAAAAAGAAGAAAAGAGAATATAGAGAGCCAACTAAAAGAACTAGAGAGCTATAGGGCACAAGCAGAAACGCGAAAGTTCTACAAAAGGATTAACCAGAACAGGAAATAATTCAAACCAAGATTATCAATCGTTAGAAATAGAACAGGGGAGATCATTGGTGATCAGGACCAGGTACTAGAAAGGTGGGCAGAAAACTTCGAGAAACGGTTAAATATAAGAGGTGAGACAGGGCTCCACGAATCAGAAATCCAACTCGAGGACATTGATGACGAAAGAGAGAAAGATAACAGCATAACAGAGGTAGAAATCATCCAAGCTATACAAAAATTGAAAGAAAACAAAAGCTTCTGGGGCATATAGCATTCCTTCAGAACTTTTAAAGCATGGAAAAAAAACTGACATACTGTATATGTAGACTGGTAGAAACTAATCTGGAAGCAAATTAAGTTGCCAGAAGACTGGAATGTAGGTATAATTATATCTATCCACAAGAAAGGAGATCAAACAATATGTGACAACTACAGAGGAAGAACCCTCCTAAACGTAACATAAAAAATTTTGGCATATATTCTTTACGACCGACTATCGGGATATTGTGAAGACATACTAGGTAAATATCGGTGTGGGTTTCGTAAAGAAAGATCAACGACCGATCAAATATTCCTTCTAAGGTAAGCTCGGGAAAAAAACATATGAGCATATCATATGGCATTGATACCATCACCTGTTTGTTGATTTTAGATGTGCCTATGATAGTGTTGAAAGAAATGCACTGTACAAGGCCATGATAGAATTCAGCGTACCAGTACACTTAGTAAAATTGGTGAAAGCGACCCTCTCAAGAGTCGAGTGTAAAGTTAGAGTGCAGAACGGAGTTTCCAGAAAGTTTCAGTCTCAGATAGGACTTAGACAATGAGACAACCTAGCACGCCTTCTATTTAATATTGCACTAGAGAAAGCGATAAAAAATGTGGAATAAAAACCAGAGGAACTATTATTAATCGCAGCGTACAATTACTAGCGTACGCCGATCGCATCGACAGTATCGCAAGAAGAAAGGCGGGTCGAATCATTCAAGGCGCTTGAAGCAGCCACAAAAAGAATGGAACTAGAGGTTAACTCTATTAAGACGAAGTATATGAAAGTATCAAATTATATGCAAGCAGCACAACCCGAAGATCTAACGATCGGAACATATACTTTCGAAGGAGTAAGAGAGTTTATATACCTAGGCTCACAAATTAATCAGAATAATGCACTAAGTGCAGAAATTAAAAGACGGATATATTTGTCAAATAGAACCTATGGATTAAAAAAATTTTTAACAAGCCTAGTTACAAAAAGAACGAAATTAGTGATATACAGAACTCTTATCAAGCCCATCCTCACGCGACGGAAACATGGACGATGACAAAGAGCGGTGAAGAACGTTTAAGATACTTTGAGCGTAAAATCCTCCGGCATATCTATGGAGGAGTACAGGAGGGAGGATTATGGCGCAGACGCTATAATTTCGAACTTTACCGCCTGTATGACAAACCTGATATTATTAGGTCCATCAAAATAAACCGGCTGCGGTGGTTAGATCACATAGAGAGAATGAATGAGATGGAGCCGCCAAAACATATTTATAATCAAAGAATAGATGGAGAGGTAGACCCAGAGCACGATTTAAGGATCAGGTGGAGGAAGAGTTGAGAATGTTGGGAGTACGAAACTGGAAAGTCAAGGCGAATAGGAGAGAATGGAGACTTATCCTTGAGCAGGACAAGACCCACCATGGGTTGTGGAGCCAATGATGAGAGATGAGAGAACTATTAAAAATACTTTATTCCTTCATTATTTGTTTTAATGATCTAATTTATTCATAGCTTTCTTATATACGACCAAATATCAAAAGCTTTAAGACTATTTCAATGGTGTTGTTTAAGAGGCCATATATACGGAAATCATAAATCAAAAGCTTTAAGCTTAGTTCAATCGTGTTGTTTGACGGTCAATACTATGCAATGGGAAATAACAAATTAAATAAAAATTTAATTTTTCATAGAAAAGTACTTTTATGTTTAAAAATCTACTTCTAGTGATTTACAGGCAATGATATATATTTTAAGAATAGCAAATTAAAATTTGTACAATAATACTATAAAATCTTAACTTACCCTCAACAATTCCTCTTCTACTGTCTGATGTGCAACAAAATCACAATACATGCAAAATATAAAAAAAAAATAAGTGCATCGAAATTAAAGCAAAATAAGTGAAAACACTCATACAAAAATAAAAAGACACACAAACTACTATAATGAGAAAAATATACTTTATTTTAACGCAAAAATAATATTGCTCGATTTTGTCAGTAATATTAAGAAATGTGTACCCATTTATCTTTCGTGAATTTCTTTTTGCCTAAATGTAAAATTTCTTTCATGACAGTTTATGCAAGTTACTGCTATGCGGGTTACTGATGATACTTCTATATACTGGAGGTGGACTACTGTTAACCCATCTTATTCGTGGTGATCAATACAATATAAATACTTATTAATAAATATATTATTATAGGTTGTTACAAATTTGTTAAATGATTTAATAAATCCCAAAATTGCCGATAGTCTCGATTTTTAAGGGTAAATGATATTAAGCACTACATTTAATTATGGTGCACGTAGAGATATTCTAAGTTAAGGTAATTGATCATGAGTGACAAATCATAGAGATTAATCAAGGTTATGCATATATCTCGGATCTTTGGTGATTTGGCTATTATGCGTTTTTTTTAACATGACTATTATATCTTAGCCTATTTGGCTCTTTTTTTGCACCTATCCGGCTCAGTAGACATTTTGTCTAATGTTTTTTCCTTTATATAACTCACAGTGGGTCATTGTTACTAAATATTTCGTAACTCCAATGCAAAGAAACTTCTACTACCACGATTTTTGTTAAAAAAAAGTTTATTTCGCTTATCTCTTTACATTTATTCACTAAATTTTCCCCTTTTCTATTCCTCTGATATATTTTTTCTCTATTCTTGTTATTTTAGGTGGTACTGTTTTAATATTTTTCTTCTTTTCAATTTTAAGAATTCAAAGTATGTCTATATTATGATATTAAAAAATGAAAATAAAAAAGTTTTACCACTAACACATGCAATTACTTAAAATATACACTGTTGCCAACAATCCGGACACCTTGATAAACCCACAAATGAGAAAATAAATTAGAACGCTTTAATAAAACGTTAAAACATTCCTGAAACAATGTAGACACTATAATGTCCTCTTCAGGAAGATTGTCACAACCTGGTCAAAGATGCTTATGACAAGAGATATACTTGTTTTTCATACCAAGTTCGACCTTTAAATCGTCAAGTGTCAGGGTTGTTTTGCAGAGTAATAAATTATACAAAAACTTAATTTGAAACTACCAGTAATATGACTTACCTCGTTAAGAACTCGTCTAAGTTTCAACAACATAGTCTTGATTCCTACGATGTCCTGCTTGACGGCCGTATGACTGGCGCGATCGAGACGGATACTGTCATCCGAATCGTAACCACACGCAGACGAGAGATTGGCGACTCTGTTATAACGTACTGGACTGCTGGTAGCTGAAGGACGTGAAACACGTCCTAAAGTCTTCGGAGAGTCTACGGTGGAGTTGGGAGTGCTGACTCGCGATGATAATAAGCGAGTTCTTGAAGCGGTGGTGCTGTAAAGAAAAGAAAATCTTATGATAGTCAAATTTCCAAAGAGAACGTTAGAATAGTCAAATTCGAATAGGGCGACGGAAGAAATATATGCAAAAATTCTAATAAATGGTTTATAGCATAAACAATATGATTATTATGGTAACAGTCAGTCATAGTAGTGACGTTTTAAAAAAATATCTACAACTCAATTTTAAAAAACACAGATACAATCTATGTATCAAATTTTAAAATACACAGTCAATTTTTAAAGAATAATAAGGTCTGAATGTACATATTATATTTTAGATTTAAGCTGTATATTTAAAATATTATCTGCATATTATTAATTATTAAATATGTGTTTGTCTATATAATGAACTATTTTATTATAGAAGTTCTATGGTTACAACTACATTTAATGAGAATAAACTACCGTTTCAATTGAAAATACGATTTCATTTATGCAAATATAATGAATTTCAATTGAAATTGTCATTTATTCCCATTAACTACAGTAGATAAAATTATTGAATATCATAACTGTTGAAAAATATTATAAATTTAAATTACTATTATAAGATCCATTATTGTCTGCTGAAATTCTGCAATCACGTAATTTTTGAAATTATTTATATCAACCCGACGGTTACATTTCCCAGTACTTCACAGTTTCTTCCAGATATCTATAGTGACTGTCAAATCTCTGCTTAACCAAGAGTGTATAGCTTCTACCTTGAAATAAACAATTTTGTCTTGCAATTATATTTTTTTATTTGCCGTAGGGTTTAAGTCTGGATGCTAAACGAAGTTTTAAAAAACCAGTCCACTTTCTTGAGGTACTTTGTCAAATTTATATTGAATATGATTTCATGAAGTTGCAGCTTAAACATTTTATATTGGTCGTTACGTGAAAACATGGAAATAATAAGGGTTTAATATAAAATGAATTTCAAATAAAAAATAAATTTTTTATTTTGAATTTGTAAAACTACTATGAAAAAACATCAGATTTTAATTTGCGTGAATTTTGAGAGAAAAATTGTGACTTAACAATACTTTTTATGCACTAAATAACATACGTTGGTGAACTCCATGTTTTGATACTAGTCGCTTCACCACTGACTGAATTTTCTAGTTTTCTCGCTGTAGACGGAGATCTTTTGTATCGTAGTTCTGTGGTTCGGTTTATTCTTATTATATTGCCATTCTTCATGATTCGCTTATAAACTACTTTGGTATAAAAATAAATGTTCTACGTTGTCATACGAAATTGATATCTACACGATAGCAAACAATTTGCACGGTAGGGCTTTTCATAGGGCGAGTCAGATGCGGTTTTCTTGTCATTAAATATATTTAATACAATCAAAATAATATATCAGGGGAAGTTGTCCCACCCCAATGACCTTGCAGAGAGTGATCTACAAGACTGCATACTTTCACCTAGCATATTCATTGTCATGTAAAAGGTGAGGTACTAATAAGGATCGTGGTGTGTAAAAAATATACTCGACGAGGACTTAGGAGTAGATTGCCCGATTGGATTTCGTATTACCTTTTTTCCCAAATGCAGCGATGTATAGAGATGTTAAGCTAAATTTAGGCGTCGGAACCTTCGTAAATAAGGAAAATTGCTTGATTTGAACATTCATGAATAAAATAAAAAAGAAATTTGTGTAAACGAGGGAAGCAATAGTTCGTTGAAATTGGGGGCGGGACGAAGGAGCAGCAAAAGGTATGTAAAATTGATTAAGGAATAGAATTGACTTTTTCAAGTATCTTTACAATATCTGAAAATGGAGAATTTCCCTAAAACATTATTACATGAGAGTAAAAATAGATTGGAATCCTGGAATCCAATTATGGAAAACACAGGAGATACAAAGATGTATAGACTAGAATAGCAAAGGTAGATGTAACGTATTACGTAAATCGTGGCAAGCATAAGAAATAAAAAATATTTAAATTTTTAATAGCTGTGTTAAAACCATATTAACTTCTGAAGAGAAAACTTAAAAATATGGTACACCAAGAAAACCACAAACTTTCATATAAAGATATATAAGAAAGATCCTGAAGACATATTGGCCTAATGGAATAACTAATAAAGACCTATGGAAAAGAACAAATTAAATTAAATTAAATTAAGTCAACATATCTGCTGCAATAAAGAAGAAAAAACGGAATATTGTGAGCCGATAGAGAAACACCAGAGAATAGTTGAACAACAAAAATATGTGGGATAGTTGAAAATAAAGCAAAAAATAGAGAATGAAAAGAAATTGTACATGTATGTCCAAAGAGTAAATGTGGCAAAGAATGTGCTGATTTTTCCAATCATCCATCTCATATTACTGGCCTTGACATGCAGAAGCATCTAATATTCCAAAAGGAAGAATGGTACTAGAAAGTAATTAAAATCCTCGAAAAAGTAAAAAAGGAGTCGACACGGAAAACGTGGAAGAGATCCATAGAAGAACACGCTAAGAGACTAGGAAATTCCCTATGTTTCAACTGGGAGTTAAAGTGAATAGTCAAGTCAAAAATACTGTATTATAGAAAACTACTTTGTGACGAAGATAGTATACAATGTAATAAAAGTAAGAGAATTATCGGAATAACAAAATCTGCTATGGAAATATTCTGTATTGTGGCTTATCGAATATTTAATAAAATCTGCAAGCAACCACAGACTAACAAGCTTCTATAGATAAAAAAGGGATTAAGAAGAGCTGTTGAAATTATGACATATATGACATTAGTAGCAAATTATGACAAGTGGAAAAGATAAGAGGAGGACAAAAATTAATATAATGAGACTTTATAAATAAGTGAATACTATTGTGTTAATTTTATTTCGATTACAACATCGACTACTTCAGCAAAATGGAAGTGCAATTCTCTAGAGTTATTTTAGTTTTTGTTAATTCGCTTTTTCTTCTGGGTTCCGATTAATATTTTTCATGAAGTGTTTATTCTATGAACTACATATGTGAGATTTATCATAAATTTGAACAGGTGTAACGATAGCTTAAACATAATTAAATTCGAAAAAACGTAAAGACACATCTCATATTGGGTTTCAAAGAAGTGTAAAGCGAAAAAAGAAAGCAAGAACTGAATTAGAAACTATAAGGCATAACATAAAAAACAAAATTACCTTAATCACTATCGATTTATTAACGACCATAACAGACAATGACAACAAATTATGAATGGCTAAAGAAATCCTGAAAACGGCGGAAGAAAGAAAACAATATAATAATAGAAACAAAAAAAATAAAAAAAAATCAAAGAAGCAAATTAACGGTGACCTAGTAAATGGCGGAAATAGAAGATCTTGAAAAAAAAAGGTACTTTTAATTTGCGTAAGAAAATTCAGTAGAAATCCGTGTTATAATTGAATTTCCAGAACTAATTTAATAGAATGAAAACCGTCCTTTGCAACTTACAACATATACTACATATTCTACCCTGCTATGTATATGGAGTGGAAACGTGGACCCTACTAGAATCTATCAGTAACAAAATAACAGCTTTCAGAATGTGTTGTTATCACAGGACTAGGTATCTAGTTACGAAATCAAAGTTTCAGAAGTTTAAATAAGATATTGTAATAATAATAACGTTAAAGGTTACAACAATACATAAGATCAAAATCTGCTCTATATAGTTAAATGACCTATTTTGGGCATATAATGAAATCTTTAGGAAGCGCATTCTTCAAGTTAAAAAAATAGTAAATTAAAAGGCAGCAGATCTTTTGACTAAAATATATAAGTGGGCTGGCTAAAGAATCATTAAAACTATTCAGAGAAAGCTGCAAACAAAGTAAACCGTAATGGATTTGGAGTGGGACAAGTTTTGTTTTCAATAAATTAAGAAATTATTCTTATAAATTATTATACGAATAAGAATATATTTATATACAAAAGAAATTATTATTAAAAAATACGATAGTTGCTTTTTTTACATAAACGATATATATTTTTAAACATTGTTGCCAAATCTATGATGTACTGATGTATACCAACAGCACTTTTAATTATTAATTTCACTACTACCAAAAATTTAACAAAAAATTATCGGATTTCACTCGTTTATTCCATTCTGACTCACCCTATACATTTCAAAGGGCACGGATAGGTTTGGATATTATTTAATAGGCACTGTGATCACAAGACTTTCCGAAAGTCAAAAATTATCTATAGTTTTCAGCGACATCGCGACTATCTCGCGACTTTGAGGAAACTGAAGGAAAATCGTTTTCGGGATGGATGGACGTTCCACATTCTACTCTAGAACGCAATACAACGGAGCGGCGCTATCGATTTTAGGTTAGGGACGATGGTGTAGAAATGAGCAATCGTGTTTTTATCGAGGTAAAGTTTTATGGATCATCAGAAGATAAATCATACAGTTTAATTACGGATCATAAAGGAATGTTTGTTGTAAAAAAGGACAATCTTAAAATTATCCATATAAAAAAAAATTGTTATAAACTACATTAGGTACGACAGTGAATCTCAAACAGTTGTCGGTGTTTCAAAAATTGCGAGTTCTTTTCTAAAATAAAATATTTAATTTCTTCGCATTTTCATTCAGAAACTACTAACTCAAACATAGGCCAAGACTAGAGCAAGATAACTTCATACAAAATATGACAAATGACAGAAATTAAAGAAATGATTGGAAAGAGCAAGTCGTTGCAAGTCGGTTACCGGAAATGTTTACAAATAAAGATGTAGAGGAGACTTATCTTCAGATATATACGAAAGTTGCTAATGCCAGGCTGAAATGAAAAGTTTTTGGTCTCACTAAAAAAGTTGAGTTTCTTTATAGAAAAATGCACTCACTATTATTTTCCTATATTTTCTTAAATATCTATTTTAAAATTTAAATTTTTTGTGTAAAATGAGCCGTATCCTGTTTCCCTTAGTTAGTAGGTAAGTGTTTTAAATTAAAAAAAATTTTCTGCATCTTTACATCGCCACTAATTTCACCATAAGTTTATATAAAC